CCTCCACCCCACCCCCTCTACCCCAACCCCCAATCCCCTCCACCTCACCGCCTCCAATCTCCACCCCCAATCCCCTCCACCACGACCCACAGTCCAGCTCAGTGTTTACTCTCGCGAGGAAGATTGGCCTCTGCTGCAAAAGCGTGAGGCGCAGCGCCCACCTGGACAGAGGCACTTGGTGGTGCGAAAATCCAGGGTTTGCCTGGACGGCAGGTATCTGAGGTTAGTTCTGAGGGTTGAGCGGGATTCGAAGGCTGGGGTGCGGGCACGTGAAAGCGTAGCCAGCGGTAAGAAGGCAGAATCTGTAACACTGGGCCCCTGTTAACAGACCCCCAAACAGCCGGAGGGCCTCAGGGGACTCGCTCAGGTTTTAGAAAGTGACTCCCAGTTGCTGCTGAGCTTTAAGCAGTGGCCTGGGCAGATGCATTTGGGTAAGATCATCCTGGTCAGCCAGGAGGTGCTTATCTTGGCGCGCGTGAGAGTCAGGGTTTAAAGCTGACAAGCCTGGGCTGACTTGGGGTGCCTGCTGAAGGGATGCTGGATCCATGTGGAAGATCGTGGGTTCAGGAGTTTGCAGGCCCCTAGGAGAGGGATGGGGAGAATAGCCACGTGAGACTATTGGGATTGCTTGTCTTTCTCTCAGGAAATAAACTTTTTAAAAAATTGACCACTGGTTGGACCAAGGGAGGTGTCAAAGCAGGGTCCTATGATTTTGGATTGGTTTCTGGTGGTACCATTCACTGGCATTGAATAGTCTGGAGGAAATCATTTGATAAATGAAAACTTGAGAAAGAATAAAAATGGGTATAGATTTAGAAATGGGATTGTTAGATCATATGGTTGTTCTGTATTTAACTTTCTGGGGAATTTCCAAATTATTTTCCTAATGTGGCCACATCATTCTGTGTTCTCATCAGCAATGGATGAGGGTTCCAATTTCTCCATATTTTAAAAATACTTTTTGCCAGAGAGTGTGTATGTTCATTGGAGAAAGAAAGAATAAAAGTGAGAAAGCACCCCATCCCCCATGGGGGATGATCACAAAGCAATCAATCCCTTCTCCATTTCTCCTTTCTTTAAGGATATTGAGCACACCCGCACAAACACCACGCAACTTTCTCAAGCAACTGGGCCCACGACTTGAGTTGTACAATCAGCCATGTAGGATCCAGCATCCCTAACCACCATTCCATGGGCTAGCTCTTCCATATCCTTTTCAGTTCTTTACATTATTGCTATCTTAGTAGGTATCTTTTTTTTTTGGAGAGGTTTTTTGCTATAGGGCGCATGCTCTCTCCAGACAGACAGAGATAGAAAGCGAGAAATCACCCCCCAGGGGGGATGGCCACGCCTCAATCCCTTCTCCTCCGTTCTCCTCTAGAATCTTAGGCATGTACTCACACACTCCTGACGTAAGTTTAAGCCACCGGGTCCAGTACTCGAACTGCGGTCGACTACGTGGGAGTCCGGCGACATAGCCATTACGCTAACTACTGGTGCCCCTAGTAGGTATCTTGTGGTTTTGGTTTACATTTCCTGTTTTTGTTTTTGTTTTTGTTTTAGGTTTTTGCCATATATGTGTGCACACACTACAAAGAGGAAAAATGAGAGATCACCCTACCAGTTGGGATGACTAGGCCACAATCCCTTCTCCTCCTGGGATTTCAGGCATGCATGAACATGTGTACAGTGTGATTTTCACTGTGCCAGGTCTGGGACTCAAACTGCAGTCAGCCATGTGGGAATCCAGGGCCTTAACCACCACACCACCTGCTGGCCCTCTACATTTCCAGTTTAAGGCAGATATTAAAAAAAGATGTAAAACAGTGCAGCTTTCCTCATCAATTTTTTTTTTTTGAGAGGTTTTTGCTATATGGTGCTTGTGCTCGCCATAAAGACAGAGACAGACAGACAGATAGAAAGTGAGAAATCACCCCCCAGGGGGGATGGCCACGCCACAGTCCCTTCTCCATTCTCTCAGGATCTTGGGCATGCATGCACACGTGCCCAGCATGAGTTTAAGCCACCGGGTCCGGGACTCGAATCGCGGTCGACTACATAGGAGTCCAGCGACATAGCCATTACACTAACTGCTTGTCCCCCTCATCAGTTTTTTTTTTTTAATATGTTGTTAATTTAAAATGTTCTTTATGTTAAGCAATGATTTTGTTGTTTATGAATTTTAAAATTACAAGTTTTATTTTAATTTCTGATATGGTGGATAAGGATAGGTATTACCCACATGAGCAAATACTCTTTGGGGTTCCCGATAGTCTTTAAGAATATAGTTTCTGAGTCTAAAAAGTTAGAAAACCACTGGTTTATCCTGCTGTGAATTACTTTGATAAACTCTTTTTCTCTTCATTTATATTTAAAATATGGCAGTCTTAGAATAGGGTTCTAAACTATGAGTTACTAATTTATAGTTTTAAAATCTAAGTTAGCAGGCCATAAATCCTTTTTATTTATTTATTTATTTATTTATTTATCTATTTATTTTCATTTGACCAGAGAGGGACAGAGTGAAAGAGAGAAGTGAGAAAGCAAGCCACCAGGTCCAGGACTTGAACTGCAGTTGGCCATGTGGGAGTCCAGCGCCCTTAACCACCACGCCACCTGCCAGCCCCAACAAGCCATAAATCCTTTGAATTTTAAGTGTATGTGCATTTTCTCAGGAAAGTTCTTGACCTTTATCAAATCTTCAGAGTCCGTGACTCCAAAGATTAAGAACCACTAAGCCAGGTACCAGCAGTTAGCGTAATGGCTATGTCGCTGGACTCCCACATAGTCGACCGCAGTTTGGTCGACCGCAGTTCGAGTCCCAGACCCAGTGGCTTAAAACTCACGCCGGGCACATGTGCATGCGTGCCCAAGATCCCGAGAGGAGAATGGAGGAGAAGGGATTGCGGCATGGTCATCCCCCCTGGGGGGATGATTTCTCACTTTCTGTCTATCTCTCTCTGTCTGTCTGGAGAGCACACGTGCCCTATAACAAAAACCTCTCCAAAATAAAAAAAAGAACCACTAAGCCATAAAAATATTAAAAAAAACTATTAAGCTTTTGTTCTGCAGTCTGGTATACTACCACAGAGGGCCAATTTGTAAAATTTATGTAATCTGGATAAGAGTCTTCTGTTGGGTATATGGAGTGTCATTATTTTCTCCCAGTCTTTGACTTATGTTTTCACTTCTTTATTAATGTCAAACTTTTCAGTTATTAGATAAGAATTTCTGAAATGTTAAATTCAGAGTTGAATACTTGTGGTTCAGCTAATTCCTTAGTTTCTCATCTGTATATCTTCCATTTGTAAGTGTTATAAGTATCTGGAACTTACTATGTACAAAACTGAGCTCATCTCCATTATTCCTCACCCAAAAGCAAAATAACAAACAGAAAACTCTTCCTAGGTTCCTAGTTTAGTGATTATATACTGGCAATAGTTTGACTTTCATATAAAAGACTTCTAGTTATCCTATATCCTTCCTCTCCTTACTATTATGCTGTTTTGCTCTTGGATGGAAAACAGTGGTTACAATGAGTTCATGTTTATGTATAGTAATTCTAGTTATCCTACCTCCTTCCTCTTCTTACTCTTATCTTGGAGCCATCCCTTATTTGTGCTCTTAATTTAGGATGCCAATTCCCTTCCCTTCCCCTTCTCAGCCTAGCTATCCTGTACCATCATGATTTAGTGTAGATACCACTTCCTTGTAGGTTTTCCTTTATCAATACAACCCTTCTATAATATTATTTTCTACTTATCTGTTAATCCCAAAGTAGGTACAGTTTACACTTCCCTTAATCATTTCAGAATTTATCATTTTTAATTGCTTTTTAAATTTAGCTGTCAGTTGCGAACTCCCGTGAGAAAGAGAGAGAGAGAGAGATCTCGTATCCTTTTTGGTAAAAATCTATACTAAAGAAGTCCTGTGGCTAATTCCTACTTGCTCATCTTTCATGTTTCAGATTCAGTGATACCCAGGAAGGCTTTTCCTTATCTTTAGACTAGCTTCTCTTAGACCCTTGTGTTTCCCCAAATCTCCAGAATATAGGAATTTCCTAGAGTATTGTTGAACACGTGTGTGTGTGTGTGTGTGTGTGTGTGTGTATTTTATCTTTATTTATTTATCGTGGTTTTCAAGCCACTGGGTCTGGGACTTGAACCTCAGTTGGCCATGTGAGAATCTAGCACCTTAACCACCATACCATCTGTTGGTCTCAAATTTATATGTGTGTGTGTGTGTGTGTGTGTGTGTGTATGTTCACCTATTTCTCAGTCATTTATATATATATATAAAAACATTTTCTTAGGAGATTTTTGCTGTAGGGTACATGCACTCACCAGAGATACAGAAAGCGAGAAATCACCCCCCAAAGGGGATGGCCATGCCAATCCCCTCCACGGTTCCCCAAGTTTATTTATTTATCTATTTTTTAAGAGAGATTTTTTTGCTATAGGGTACATGTGCTTACCAGAGAGAAAGGACTCAGGGCAGTGGCCATGAAACAACCCCCAGGGGCAGTGGCCACGAAACAACCCCTTCCCCTCCATTCTCTTCTCAGGATCTTGGGTACATGCACCTGGCGTGAGTTCTAAGGTCTGGGACTTGAACCACAGCCAGCTGCGTGGGAGTCCAGAAACATAGCCATTATGCCTTCTGCTGGTCCCCCAAATGTATATTTTTACTGAGTGCCTAAGGGATTCTTGTAGGAGAAAGTTCGGGGAAAGGTACTCTGTAATACTTAAGTGTTCCCTCCCCATCCTCTTGCTCAGGTTTCAGAAATTGTGCACATATTGTGTTTCATAGGATCATGGACTGATTACTTCAGTGTCCATAACATTTGAGTTATGATTTAGCAAACAGGTTCAGTCATTATTGAATAATATTTTAATGATTTGCTTAGAGAAGGGTATTTATCCCTGAAACTGGAAATGTAATTGCTTAGAAGTAGGGTAGGTATGTTTCATATCATTAGAAACTACCAGTTTTCCAAAATGATATTAACAATTTGTATTTCCTCTAGCAGTATAAGATTTCCAGTTTGTGCACATCTTCTCCAATATTTGATGTTATCAGTCTTTTTTCTTTTGTTAAAGCCTTTCTAAGGATTGTAAAATGTTATCTTGGCGGTTTAAATTTGCATTGCCCTGATCAATTAATGATGCTGAGCACTTTTTCATACAGTTCTGGGCAATTCATAGGTTCTGTGTGTATGTGTAGAGTAAATGTCCAAATTTGTTGTCCCTTTTATATTAGATTTTTAAAGATTTGTGTAAGTTGTTTTTTGTTTCTTGTTTTTTGTTTTTTTCTTAAAGAGAAAAAGAGTGTGAGCAAGCATTCTTCCCCAGAGGGGCCTGGTTATGCAATGAAGGACAGAGAAGTACCCTCCACAGGGCTGATGATGTTGCAATCCCCTTTCTTTAATCCTCTAGCCCACAGGTGTTTGGGCCACAACCACCCACCCAGCTGCACCATATAGGGTGGACTAGTTTGTATAATTTCCTTATGTAATCTGAATATGAGTCTTCTGTTGGATATAGGGATTATCAGTATTTTCTCCCATTTTCTGTGGTTGGTTCTCTGTTCACCTATTTCTTAGTCATTTAAAAAAATTTCTTTTCCTTAAGAAATGCCTACTTTTGTTAAAGCTTCAAATTATTCATCAGAGGTATATATGATAATCTCAGTCTTTAAAAGTACCTCTTTATTGTTAAAATGCTCCTTTTCAGGACCTGTAGATGGTGTAATGGTTACATTGCTGGACTCCCTTGTAGTCAACCGTGGTTAAAGTCCTGGACCTGGTAGTTTAAAATCACGCTGGGTGCATGTATGTGCCTGCCAACATCCCAAAAGAAGAATGGAGAAGAAGGGATTGTGGTATGGCTATCTTCCCTGGGGGGTGATTTCTCACTTTCTGTCTCCCTGTTTCTCTCTCTGTCTGTCTGGTGAGTGCACATACCCTATAGCAAAAATCTCTCTTTTAAAAAAAGAAAAGAAAAGAAAGTCCCTTTTCTCAATGCCAGTTTTTGTTTAATTTCTCAGTAAAATTTGTCTGATAGTTTTCTACTTTTATTAGTCTTTTTAAAAATAAAGGTCTTAAAAAATAAATAAATAAATAAATAAAGGTCTTGTGGGACCAGCAGTTGGTGTAATGGCTTATGTCCCTGGACTCCCATGTAGTCAACCGTGGTTCGCGTCCCGGACCCGGTGGCTTAAACTCACTCCAGGCACTTGTGCTTGCGTGCCCAAGATTCTGAGGAGAAAGGAAAAGGAATTATAACCATCCCCCGAGGGTTGATTTCTCGTTTTCTGTCTATCTGTCTCTGTCTTTCTGGTGGGCACACATGCCCTATAGCAAAAACCTCAAAAAAGGAAAAAAAAAAGGTATGTATGTATGTATATATAGGTCTTCTATTTAGTTACTATTACTATTTTTTAAATCAGTTACTTTTGTGTTTTTCTTAACCCCGTCCTCAACTTTTTTGGATTTTTAGGTTATTTTCTTGATTCTTGATTCTTTATTTGTTTCTAGTCTTATTATTAATTAGCATCTAAAGTTGTGACTTCTTTTGGTTGTGTAGTAAAGTTGTTTTTCAAAGCTAGACAGGCTATCTCCATGGAAGAATATCTTGTTTTGTAATGTTTTCTCTTACAGAACAGGGAGCATGAATTTACATAATGTTTTTTCAAGATTATTGATTGACATAGGTCATTGAGAATTATAACAAAATCAATTTGTTTTTTCAAACTCATCAGGAAGCTTTGTGTAATACCTGATCACCAGAATTCCGCTAAAGATACCTCAGCTCTTTAGGAATCAGTGAAGATAAGTCAGGGTCAGAGGCCTGGAATAATAATTTTGTGAATTGCTTAGGCATTTCTTCTGCTGGTGTCCTGTGAATTTGCTTATGTTTACACTAGATGTCTTGTTTTTCTTCCTAGTGAGAAACTTGGACTTCCTCATGTAGCAGCTGGGTTCAAAGAGTCATTGCTACTAACATTTTTTTTTTTTTACGAGTTTTTGCTATCGGGCACGTGCACTCGCCAGAAAGACAGAGAGATAGAAAGCGAGAAATCACCCCCAAGGGGGATGGCCACACCGCAATCCCTTCTCCATTCCCCTCTCGGGATCTTGGGCACACACACACATGCACCCGGCATGAGTTTAAGCCCCTGGGTCCAGGACTCGAACCGTGGTCAACTACATGGGAGTTCAGAGACATAGCCATTACACTAACTGCTGGTCCTGCTACTAACTTTTAAACTGGCTCATTTAGAGCCAGCCCCATAGCCTTCTGGTTAAAATAGCTAGATCCCATATGGCCAGCCACAGTTCAGATTCCAGCCCTAGTGACTTGAAAAACATGCCAGGGGCATGTGCCTGCTCCCCCCAAATCCTGCCAGGATAGAGAAATAGAAGAAAAAGGACTGCATAGGATCATGCCCCATTGTAGGGTGCTTTCTCTGTCTCTGGACTAGCACATATGCTCTCTGGTAATAAAAAAGTTATGTCTTATCTGTCCTTTAGGTAGCTGTTAACTCATGCTTTTTAAAAGGTTACTCCTATGTTCTACCAGTTTTATTGTTTACTAGCCCTCTAACATTAGAATCTTTGACTATTACTGCTACTCCATCAAAATTTCTTGCATTTGTAAAAGTTTGGTTTAAATATAATATTGGGATTAATTAATAGTTGAATATTTGTACCTTCTCTAGATTACACATCTTTTAGCAATGCAGGCCACAGCAGCTGGTAAAGGGTACCACAGTAATGGAGAAAACCTCCCAAAAGGTGAGATTCTAGGCCAGTCTTCTTTACCAGGGGTAAGAGGGAGGGATGCTAAATAAAATTGTGCCAGACAGTTCCCCTTCTAATGTTGCTACTTTTAAGCCTTTCTCCCAGGAAAATGGTAAGAGTCAGCAAGTTTTTAACTTCTAGATTCACTCAGTCATTCTTGGTGATTATGGGCAGTCTAGACAAGACTTTTTAGGGAAAACAACAAGCTATGATGTTTTGTCCTCCCTATAAAATCCAAAACTTCTTTTTCTGTGATAAATAGTAGAATAGAAAATAAGAAATGGCAAAGAGCATAAAAAATGAATAAACCATACATGTATGAAAAGCTGTTAAGAAACATTTTAGATTAAGACCAAAATCCCTTCATTTTCCTGAAACACATTTAAAACAGGAAAGAAAGGTTTAATATAAAAGGATGGAGAAATTAAGAAACAAATGAACTCAAAAATTTGAGATGATAGTATTAATAGGATATAGTGAATGCAGAAAGCAAAAGATAAGAGGGCCACTTTGAAATGATAACATATTATACAGTGATGCCAACAGTCATGAGCACTAATGGAACAAACAGCGTACTTTCTATTTATACATTAAATGTGGAAAAGGCTGCTGGAGATTGACATAATGGTTACCACTGTTTACTAGTAAATCTCAATAGGATTTTCATGCTATACAAAATGTTCCCCCAAAAAATGAACTGAAAAAAATGTAAACTGGAGGGAAGAATGTAAAAGAAATGTAAAGAAGAAAGAAACAACCTACCAGATGGAAAAATTATCCTGGGGGGGCCAGCAGGTGGCATAGTGGTTACGTTGCTGGACTTCCACAGGGCTAACTGCAGTTGGAGTCAAGGACTTGAAACTCATGTCAGGCACGTGTGCATGCATGCAAGATCCCAGGAGGAGAATGGAGAAAAAGGGATTGTGGCTTGGCCATCCCCCTTGAGGTATAATTTCTCACTTTCCCTCTCACTGTGTCTGTCTCTCTCTGTCTCTCTCTCTGGCAAGCGCACATGCCCTAAAGCAAAAACCTCTTAAAAAAAAAAAGGCAAGAAAAATATTCTATGATGCTATAATATGATGCTATAAAAATTAAGACAGTATGAAGCCCAATCATTATTGATTGATGCTGCTATCTACCAGGCTGAGCCACGTGAGAGGCCTGGTTTATTTCCCTGTCTACTAAGAGGCTGAGGCAGAAGGATTGTAACTTGGTGAGATCCTGTCTAAAAAGAAAAAAAAAAAAAAAGTATGATACTGTTATACAAAAAGATAACAGATTAACCTAAACAGAAAATAGAAATAGACTCTTAAAAAATTATGAAACAGAAACAGAGGACTTAAAAACACAATGAAGATGTCATTTCAACTCAGAAAGAAACAATGGATTACTCGGCAATTGGTCATAGGAAAACTGTCCATTTTGAAAGAAAATTAAGTTAGACTCCTCCCTTATGCTAGATAGAAAAATAAATTTTACATAATGTAAAAATCTAACTGTTAGACATATAGAGAATTAAAACAAATTATAGGAAAATACTTTTTAAATTATGTAGTAAGGAAGGCCAATGATAGAAAACCCAAAGTCATAGAAGGCTGATCCATTTAATTAAGTAATCTTAAAACTTTGGTAAGAAAAGATAGTATAAAAGTAAGCAATACACTAGGGGCGAAAAGCTTATAAATGTGAAAAACAAAGAATTAGTATCCAGAATGTATGAAGAATCCCTGTACAAATCTCTTATCCTATCCCCAACCTCATATTTATAACAACTTTTCTTCTTTCTCTAAATCTGTTCTTTATAAAGTCCCTACCTCTTTCTTCACCTCTGAATATCCCTATTCAGCTATAGTACTGAGTTTGAGAAAGAAACAATGGATTACTCGGCAATTGGTCATAGGAAAACTGTCCATTTTGAAAGAAAATTAAGTTAGACTCCTCCCTTATGCTAGATAGAAAAATAAATTTTACATAATGTAAAAATCTAACTGTTAGACATATAGAGAATTAAAACAAATTATAGGAAAATACTTTTTAAATTATGTAGTAAGGAAGGCCAATGATAGAAAACCCAAAGTCATAGAAGGCTGATCCATTTAATTAAGTAATCTTAAAACTTTGGTAAGAAAAGATAGTATAAAAGTAAGCAATACACTAGGGGCGAAAAGCTTATAAATGTGAAAAACAAAGAATTAGTATCCAGAATGTATGAAGAATCCCTGTACAAATCTCTTATCCTATCCCCAACCTCATATTTATAACAACTTTTCTTCTTTCTCTAAATCTGTTCTTTATAAAGTCCCTACCTCTTTCTTCACCTCTGAATATCCCTATTCAGCTATAGTACTGAGTTTGAAACCTTAGCATTACCTTAGAGTGTTTTTTTTTAATGAAATACAAAACCTAGAATACATTAGATAGAGTACTGTTTTGTAAAATTTTTGTTTCACTTAAACACACACTCATGTATGTGCCTATGGGTCATAATATAAAATGTGTTCAATGTTGCAGTTTTAATCAAAAAAATATTTGAAAACCACCGAGCTCTCTCTTGATACGATTTCTAATCAACCACCAAGTCTTGTCGGTTGTGTAACTTTTCTATCAGTTACTTCTCCAGCGCCACTTCTGCTCTCTTGGTCTACCTGCCTTCACTGTCTTCCTTCAAGTCTTCATTCTTACTGTTGCTAGAACTGTTTATATTTCAATCCAGTCACGTAACTACCAAGTTTAAGAAGTTTTACGTGGTCATCCATTGTCTTAGAATGAAAGTCAAATTCCTTAGCACATCTTAAAAGACTTCTTTCAGTTCACAATTCCTGCCACTCTCATAAAGCCTTTTCACTCCAGACAAGGCGGCTTACAGTTTCTAAGAAATGCCATGTTCTTTTACATAGCTAGCTGTACTTGCTATTGGATTCGCTAAAACAACTTTGCCCATTTTGTTTCAAAACTCTCTAAAGTTTTCTCTGAAGTGTACTCCTTTCTTCTCAAATATATACCTGCTCCATCAACACAATTGTTGGGTACTTTTCTTTAACTGAATTACATTTTTATGTCCTTACTTTATCAGTGACCCATATGAAAGCTAAAGCACTTGAGGATAGCACCCATGTCTTTTTACTTTGTTTTTACAGTGCTCAAGTCTGGCACTAAGGAGGCACCCAAAGAGTTATTAAATAATTTTATAAGAAAAAAGTTTTTGGTTTTGTTTTTTTGTCTGAGGGCACATGTACTCACCAGAAAAAGACAGAGAGAGACAAAGTACCTCCCAAGGGGGAATAGGTCACACTACAGTCCCTTCTCCATTTCTCCATTCTGTCAAGATTTCGAGCATGCACACATACATGCCCGGTGTGTTTTTCAAGCCACTGGTGCTGGGATTCTAACCATGGTCAGCCATGTGGGATCCAGCTCTCTTGACCACTAGGTCACGGGACCAGCCCAAGGAAAAAGTTTGTTAGACTTGTCTACACACAGAGTAGAGTGGCTGCCCTATAAATGGTAAATACCTTGCCAACTAAAGAATTCAAGAAGAATCTCGGCTACTTTCTTAACTGTGGTTGCCATAACAGAATACCATAGACAGACTTAAACTTTGGAGGCAAAAATCTGATACCAGGGTATCAGCATTGTCAGGTTCTGATGAGGGGGTCTGTTCCTGGCTTACATATAGCTAGTTTGTTGGTCTCATGTGTCCTCAAATGAGAGAAAAGGGAGACAAGATCTCTGGAAGCAAGCCTTACAAGGGTACTAGAGAGTCTCATCCTCATAATCTCATCTTAAACTTAATAACCTCCCAAAAGCCCCATAACATGGGGGTTTAGGATGTTAGTATACTTCTTGGGGGGAATACAATTCAGTGTGTTGCTTCTACCATGAGGAATGTTTTGTCATAGATAATATAAAACATATTCCTGCATTGAAGAGTTGGGTCCAGATCATGTCTAGTCTTTTCTAATATTTATGGATTCTACAATATTGCTGTTAACATTTTATCCTTTTTTTTTAATCAGATAAACCTCCTAATCCTAAGAAGGAAAACTTATCTTCCAGTGGTTGTAGTGAAGTCAAATCGACTTTTCCAGATGATGACTGGGATTCTTCAGCACTAGAACAGAGAGCTAATGACAAGAAATTCAGCAGTAATGACAAAATAGATTTATTAGAGCCATATTTTTCAGCAAGTCAAGATACTAACGTAGAGAATACTCACTCACAGTCAAGTGAGTGTGAAGACAGTACTGACTATGCTTTCTTGAATGAAACATACTCTATACATTATTCAGAGTCAAAACTAAAGAATGAAAGTGTTACTCACTTAAATTCAGAATTAGATCCTGGAGTGCAAAAAAGAGAGGAAATATTTTTTGATATTTTGGAACATCAAGATAGTAAGACTACTGGCTTGAAAAGAATGAACAAGAGTTCAGATTCTGATTATAAAGAAACTACTGAAGATATCCAGAAGTCTGATATAGGTGAAGACTCACAGCTGGAGTATCACAGTGCAGAAGAACAAGAATATATAAGTAGCCATTTATCTTTTGACCAAGCAAAAACATTAAGTATATCTAATCTGAAAGTTATTGAATTAAGGAATTCAGGTTATAAAGTTAAATGTGCTAGCAATCAAGAAGATAGTCATGTTAACTTGGAAAGTGGTTCTATCATCTCTTTAGATTCACTTGATGTTTATGGACAAGAAGATTCACCTCATGTCTCCAAATTTCAGAATTCTGTTATGTTAAGAGAATGTCATGAACATGAAAAGTGTAAAGAACAAGAGACTAGCTTAATGTATCACACAATATCTGAGGAATCTCAATATAAGAGTGGTTTCTTAAATCCCCCAAAAACATTAAAAGCTAAGATTTCTACTGAAAAAGTGAACTTCCAAAAAGCTGAAAGTAAAGATTCTTATGGAAATTGTGAGAACAAAATATTAAAGCAACTTGAAAATCCTAGTACATTATCACAAGACAAAGCTTTAGAGACACTAGTCAAACCGTATAAAGATTGTCAAACTTCCTGGACTTCCATTTTTGATGATTCAGTAATTTCTGCCTGTGGATATTCACATTATAAAAGCCTACAAAACACCCCCTGTCGAGCCTTGGATTTTTCTGTTACACTGCCAGGGTCTGTAGTCAGAGATAATCAGTCAATAGGAGAGGATACCTACCTAAAAATTGCTAATGCCACAAATAAAACATGCTTTCATAATATGGAAGGAACATGTCCTAAATTGGAGACAGATGCAACAAACACAGTCACAATTAATCAGACAGTTGATGTTAGCACTGATTTTAGGGCTTGTTTCACAACCAGCAGAGCTACAAATACAAGTTCTGCTGTAGTATCTACATCAAGCAACACAGAGATAACAATGATGAATAAAAAGCGGCCTGGCAGATGGCAGAGTGAGAAACAAAGAAGTGTGGCTTGTAATACAGATTTATCATACAGTTGCGACTGTGTCAATATACAGGTGGCTGTGACAAAAGGACCAGGAAAACCTCTCTCACTTGACAGTTTAAAACCTAATGGAAATTTCACAAATAAGGTAAAATCAATTTGATTAATAGTAAAATTTGATTTGACTTTATAAAGAGGCAGATATGCTAGTGTAAATGTTTTTGGTTCATTGAATTATATTGATATTTCCATGAGAAAATACTGTGTGAGGAGCTAGAGTGCACAGATTGCTACCAGCTCTTTTCTTTGGTGGTAACCATTGCCATGGAGTCCAATAAAACTTGAATTTTATGTTTTAATGGTTTGGAACTCCAGATATAATATATTCTCTGTCACATATTTATAGTTTAATTTTAAATCATGTTTTCAGGATTCCCTGGAATTAAGAAAAACCTTTGATATCACAGACTTAAAGAAACACCCTGAGAGGTATGTTAGATGTCTAAGTTTGTAGATACATGCGAAAAAAATAGTATTTACCTTTTAAGTTTTCTTTTTTCTTTCCATGGGCAAGAGAGACAATATCCTCAACAGCCACGTCTACCCCTAGCTCCAGCCAACTGCAGGTCATGGGCAAGCACATGCCTAGCATACTCAGGGAGGTCTCCAGACACAAGTCTAGACTTCCCATGTAGACCAGCCTCGTGGGGCATTGCGTTTTTACCACTGCACCACTATCCAGCCCCACAGCATTTGCCTTCTGCGCAGCATACTTAACTATAGAGAGTAACAGCTAAAAGGGCCTTTAAGGAATCATCTGCTTCAGTTACTTCCCTTCAGACAAACACATATTAAAACAATATAGAATGTTAAGTTCCTGAGATTTCAGTCTCAGTAATACCTTCAGAAACTCATGGCATTGTACCTTTATTTATTCAACACAAATTCATACTGATTCAATTTTCCATTTTCTTTCTTTTGATTCCCCTATAAACTAAAACTAAATGATACTTTTGGAAAATGTCATATAAAGAAGTAAATAGCTTCTTTCACTGGAGTATTTTAACCTTGATTTTAATTCATTGTATAACTTACTTTGCATTTATTAGTTGCCCTTGTAATTCAGAACACAGTGGAGAACCATAAAGCAGGAGGGAAAAAAAAGGAGAAGAATATAAAAAGCCAAAAAGGGCCGGGATGCAGTGGCATGGCAGTAGGAGCAGTGCCACACAATGCAGGAGCCATCTGGAAAGGCTCTGGGTTTGCATCCCAGGTCTACTGAAACACACTGGGCACGCCTGTGATCCTGACTGACTATAGGGCTAGGCAGAGAATCACAGCATGAGGACCTGGTTGAGGTTGTCCATCTCAGTGAATATGTGTGTTTCACTTTTGAGAAATAAAATATATATATTTTTTAATTTTTGGTTTTTATTTCATTTTATTTTTGGTTCAGCTGGTGGCATGGTAACAGGCAACTGGATCCCACATGGCACAATTAAAGTCCTGGACTGGGGAACTTGAAAAACACACTGGGCATGTGTGCAAAAAACCTGCAAAGTTGGAGAAGGGATCGCCATGAGGTCATCCCCAGTGGGTGGTGCTCTCTCACTTTGTCTCTCTCTGTGAGCACACTCATCCTCTGACAAATTAAAAATCAGGCCAGAGCTTAGTTTGGGTTGAAAATCCATTGATTTCATCCCTTAAAATAAATAAAATCATGACCTTAGTTTGAAATAATTTCTCTCAGTTTCTTTCTCCTCCCTCCTCTCCCTCCCTCCCTCCCTCTCTCTCTCTCTGGTAGTAAATTATAAATTTGAGAACACTTTACTTTCTTGACTTTTAGGAAGACTATAGTTAACTTTGACTCTTGATGTTCTTGTTTTCTTAAACTGTTTTATGTCCTTATACCCTCCCCATCTATAGGAGGAATTGCTTTAAACTTGATAGGAGTGTTAGAAATTTAAAATCTATTTCTAAAGGCATATCATTACTCTTTTATTTTGAAGGGAATTTCAACTTTCTAAAGAGATGGAGAAGAATTTACCTTCAATATGCTGTCAGAAAATAATGCAGAGAGCCATAAAAGCCGAGCTTCACCTTTTAAATGTTCACTACCAGATGTGCCATCGACATTGTTGTGATATTTTCAAACTTGTAATGGAAGATGGGGAAGGATTAAATAGGTGTTTATTTATTTAAAATCTGTATTTAAGAAATTTATCACTAGCTTTAAGTAAGGGTAATGGACTTTAAAAGACATTAAGTTTGGGGTCAGCAGGTAGTGAGGCATTTAAGGTGCTGAATTCCTACAAGGCTGACCACAGTTCGAGTCCTAGACCTGATGACTTGAAAATCCTACCAGGTGCATGTGCATGCATGCACAAAATCCTGAAAGGAATGGAGGAGAAGGGATTGCAGGGTGGCCATCCCTTGGGAGTGATTTCTTACTTTCCCTCTCTGTTACTCTCTTTGGCAAGCACACATACCCTATAACTAAAAATAAAAGTAATAAGAAATAAGAATTTCATGAAGGAGGAATAGTTCATGGTTGGGATGATGAGTCCAGTGAAAGAGTAGATTTTATGTTTCTTTATAAAATCCAGGAAGAAGACAGGGTTGTACATGACATTCTACCACATTCTCTGTGGCTTATATATCAAGAGTTACTTGTACTGCCCCTAGGAAAAAACATCTGATATGGTTCATTTTCATTTACTCAACACTTCTAAAAAATGTTAAAGATCTTGTAGAGTTAAGTATATATAAGGTTATCATTAAATCGGTGATTCAGGTCTAAGAAATTTTGTGAACTTAACTTTTAAACAGGAATTTATCAAGTCATTTTGCTAAGAAGGAATTAGGATCGGCACTACTATCTGTTTTGGGAGATTTAAAAGTTAGATATGTGAGTTTGAAAGAAAAACTGCACAAGGGCATACCACTGGAAGAGCTGCCTCCACTGTCAATAGAATCAAGGTTATTATCTACCTTCTCAACTTTCATTTTCAGGGTATGTATGCATGTTTTGGGAATAAACATTTTACTTCATTGACAGAATACATTTGAAACAGATTTTTTTCTTTCCTTTTCTCTCTAGCTAATGAAAGAAGAATCACAAGTGTAAGTTATGGTTTCAACTAATTTAGCATTCAGTAGATCTTAAAAATTATTTAATTCAGTTACTTCAAATTTTCTGTTTTGGCTCCTATTGAGAACTTTGATAAATTCTCTAATGGAATGTTTATCTGTTTAGTGTTTCAGGAGCAGGTTCTGAATTAGATAATCACAGTGCACATGATGTTGATGTTTCTTTGAGCCTGAAAAAGACACCTTCTCAAGTGAGATTCTTAAAATGTTTGTGTTTTATTACATGTTGATGATGATGTATATAGTATTTTCAGCTGGACTGGTCTGAGGTATATTTCATGCAGGGTAAATTCTCTATACAAGCTAAATGATAGATAGTGATTGAATGTATAAAAAATAATTACTATAATTTAAATTAAAAAATAAAATTAGAATGGAACTTCAAAAAGAAGGGACCAGCAGTTAGCGTAATGGCTATGTCACTGGACTCCCACATAGTCAACCACGGTTTGAGTCCTGGACCCGCTGGCTTAAACTCACGCCAGGCGCGTGTGCGTGTGTGCCCAAGATCCTGAGAGGAGAATGGAGGAGAAGGGATTGCGACGTGGCCATCCCCCCCGGGGGGGGTGATTTCTCACTTTCTGTCTCTCTGTCTCTCTTGTCTGTCTGGCAAGCGCACGTGCCCTATAGCAAAAACCTCTCCAAAAAAAAAAAAAGGAAAAGATTTGTCAGTGTAAATCTTTAGTTTTGTGGCTTAAGTAAAGTAACTACAGTTTTCAGAAGCCCACACATCCTTCAGCAAGCTACCCAACTAGCTTGCTTTATGTATTGCCATTTGAGGGATATAAGTGATTAGAGGGAAGGTCCATCCCTGATTAAACAGATACCAGCAGTATATATGGAGTATCATTGAAAAATCAAACCTAGAGACTTCGGAGGATGAAAGAGAATAATGTTAATAATTTCCAGTGACAGTAAGTATGAACTTGGACCATACCCAGGCAAACCATGATGTGTTGCCATCATCATGTTGAGCCAGTACCATTACAACTGGTATCTTGTACCTTCATTTCATGAGGTAAAGTGATATTTCATATTAATTTCAGACCTTTTTTGTTTTATTTTTGCTTGCCAATTTGTTATAGGGCACTTGTACTCACTGGAGAGACAGTTTAGGAAAGGGAAAGTGAGAACTCATCCCCCAGGGGGAAGACCATGCTCCAATCTTTCCTCCTCTGTTCTCCTCAGATTTGGGACACGCATGTTCACACACCCAGCCTCCAGGTCTCAGACTTGGACTCCTCATTCAGCCATGTGAGATCCAGTCACCTTTACTTCTGCTGGCCCTTAATTCCTCCTTTACTGAAATAGAAATAGTTTTTAAATGCTATTTGTAGGTTTTCTTGGTTTCTCTGTTTTTCCAAAGAAATGTTTGTCAGATAACAGACTAGAAAGATGGTTTAATCTAGTAAGAACTAAGAGAGAAATAATAGAGAAGTATCCATTTTATTCCATTATCATGTAAGAAGGCAGTTGTGGACGAACGCTGAAGTTTCTTTTCACTTTTCTAATTTTGGTCTTAATCTCGAGGTTTCATTGTTAAAGTACTCTTATTTAATAATCCCCCATGATGAATTCCAAAACCAAAAGTGAAATACTTGGTTAATATATGCTCCTTTTTACTAAAATTAATGATTAAAAGGAAAATATTTTAGCAAATTATCTTTTATATTGTTAAACTTTTTAATACAGTATAACTATTTGCTAGAGGGCTTATGTACTCACTGTAGAGAGAGTAACAGAACCAAACTAAATTTTTATGTACTCTCTCTTAATAAATAACTTCTTATTACATAAGAAAAAGAAGTATTACTTCCCATTAATAGGGAAGTAATGTAAATATATATTTATATAAATATGTAACTGTTAAAGATTAATATGATAAGTATTTATGTTTATACCTCCAAAAGTCACTGCAAATATTTCAAGTTGTAGATAACACACTTTGCCAAATAATGCTAATGTGAACACATAGTCACTATACACAGACTAGGTTCAAATCCTACTTCTTGTTAACCATGTGATATAAAGCAATAAGTTACTTGAAGTATTTTCTCACCTATAAAGTCACGTTCACGTTGGTAGGATATTTTTTCTCTTAATCGTCATTGTTGGGAGGGCCAAAAAATGCTAATGAAGAATGCCTGTCGGGACCAGCAGTTAGTGTGATGGCTATGTCACTGGACTCCCATGTAGTCGACTGCGGTTAGAGTCCTGGACCTGGTGGCTTAAACTCACGCTGGGCACGTGTGCATGCGTGCCCAAGATCCTGAGAAGAGAATGGAGGAGAAGGGATTGCAGTATGGCCATCCCCCCTGGGGGGTGATTTCTCGCTTTCTGTCTCTCTGTCCGTCTCTGTCTGTCTGGCGAGTACATGCACCCTATAGCAAAAAAAAAAAAAAAACTCTTCAAAGAAAGAAAATGCCAGTCACATAGTAAGAACACAGTAATCGTTAGTCCTTATTGATTTTGTTGATGTTTTTATTATCATTATCTTAATCCTCAGGAGTCTTTATTATCTGACAGTAGTCATCCTAAACAAGATATATCGCCCAAGAAAGACAATTTTAAAAATGGTGATATAAATGTAGACTTCAGTCAGCTGAAACTTGATGATAAAGGTCAGTATAAAAATTATCTTGTATAGCTGCCATAAAACAAGGTTATAAAATACCCCTAGTATTTATTCATTAAAACAAATGTTTTGTTTTATGAAAAAGAGAGAACAATCACAGGAGGAAGAGAAGGGGAGAAGATAGGTATGTTTGCTAGAACTCTCACTGCATCGTGATCCTTATGCCCTAACCTCCCAGTTAGCTAGGACTGCAGGTGTATGCCACCATGCCCAGATTAAAATAAGTATTTTTAAATGACTGAATGTCATTATTGATTATGAATGTTAAGTATGTTCTTACTACTGCCACTCAAAATCTTTAAGGTCATCTAAGATATCTGGTAATGCTAAGTCTTATATGCATGGGGCAAGCAGGTGGCATAGTAGTTATGACACTGGACTTCCACATGTTGCCTGCAGTTTGAGTCCTGGACCCAGAAGCTTGAAAATTACACGGGGTGAATGTGCATGTGTGCCCAAAATCCCGAGAGGAGAAGGGACTACAACATGGGCATCCCCCCTGGGGTGATTTCTCAACTTCCCTCTCACTGCCTCTGTCTCCCTCTGGCAAGTACATGCACTCTATGGAGGGAAAAACACTTTAAAAAATACAGTATGCACTTTTATTCTTCTGGGTCAGGTTTCCAATATTAACATTCTTTATTGTGTCTAATTTGTTTACTCTGTAGACTGTATATAAATTCTTTACCAAAAGAGATAAGCATTCCAAAAAGATCATTAATTTAATATTAATGAAATAAAGAGTTGCAGTACTGCTTATTCTCTTTAATAATGCTTGCTGTTATTCTGTATATAAAGATGTCTTTTCTTCAATAAAGGACAGTTCAAAAATTTTGAAAGGTAAGACGGTAATTTAGGAGTCCATGTTAATTAAAGATAAATTAGGAAGCAGATCACTCAGGCTGAAAAGAAATTGTTACTCAGGGACTGCTGAAAACTCCTTCTCAGAGAATCTTTATGCTTGAATCTCTTAATTTTGCTAATATTTATTTTTCAGTTTATGAATTAAACTAGTAGTTATAATCATAGACTCGTGGTTTTTCTTTTCTTTTTTTTTTTTTTTTAATTTGCCAGAGGGTGTGTTTGCTTGCTAAAGAGAGACAGAATGAGAGAGAAGGAAAGTGAGAAAGCAGTTCCTATGGGGAGATAGCCATGCTGCAATCCCCTCTCCTCCATTTCTCCTTTTGGGATTTTGGGCACACACATATAACCAATATGTTTTTCAGACTGCTGTGTCGGAGCCTGGGAACCACGCAGTCAGCATGTGGGATCCAGCCACCCCAACCCCTATGCCACCTGCTGTCCCTCATTTGTCTTTTAGGTAACTTTTCAGAAGGTTAAACATTGAGCATAATTTATATCTCATTATATCCAATTTTGTAGACTATAGAAATTACCAAGAAATAAGTGAAGACTGGTTTGATGCTAAAGAGAACCTGACAGGACTCGACTTCTTGGGAATACAAGAAAATGAAATAGATAAAGACAGATGGAATCACCAGTGTACTCTAGGTTGGTTCTTAAGAATTTACTGAGAAATCCTAATGTAGCTTATTTATAAAATAGTACTTACCTGCTTCTGTGTTTGAGAAAACTTAACTATTTTAATATTCTTATTTGTAGCTTTTCTTTATAAATACATCAAATGATAATATTAGCCAGATGGAGGTCAGTTTTTAAGGAGTATATCAGTATTTAATGTTCATTTTTTGGGCCAGCCAATGTGTGGTTAAGATGGCTGGATCTCCCATGATGGTCGAGTATGTGGATAGAAACCCAGACTTTGGTGGCTTGAAAACATGCCATGCATGTGTGCATGTATGCCCAAAGTCCTGAGAGGAGGGAGAAATGGAAGAGAAGAGATTGCAGCATGACCATGCCCCATGCAGGGCAGAGAATGGGGTGATTCATTCTCTCTCTCTCTCTCTCTCTCTCTCTCTCTCTCTCTCTCTCTCTCTCTCCAGCAAGCACACATACCCTGCAGCAGAAATTTTTTTAATGTTCATTTTTCTTTCAGGAAGGTGCTAAAAGCTTCCATCTAAGATTTAGCTAGTGGTAGATTCCCAGCATTCTCTCCCTCTCACTCATAGCCTGTACCAGTACTCCTTTGGGGAATCCTTTCCTCTGAATCCTCATCTGGCACTTTCTAGGCATAGGTACATGGGGAAGCAAAGCTAGCTTCCCAGTTTCCATCAGGCAGTCAATACTAGTCTATCAAATTGGTATTAAGAGAGGAAACAGCTTTTTCTCACTTCAGTAATTTCACTTCTAGAGCAGCAGGTGGCGCAGAGGTTAAGGTGGCTGGATCGCTAGGGCCAATTGGAAATTTGAGTGCCTGATCTAATGGCTTGAAAATCACACTGGGTACATGCATATGCATGCCCAAAACCCCAAGGGGAGAATGGAGAATGAATTGCAATATGGCCTCCCTTTTGGGGGGTGATTTCTCATCTTCCCTGTGTCTCTGTCTATGACTCTGCGAGTGCACAAACCCTATAGCAAAATATTTTAAAATTAAATAAAAAATTACTTAATTTAGTAATGTTTTTACCTTTTTAGACAATCCTTTATGGTTTAAAATAAAATTTTCTCTATTATCTGTTATTATTGCCCCAATATATTTATGCTACCTTACTTTATTCTTTCATAATATTTTGTGGATTTTATTTTCTATTAAAGCAATGATGTATTTTTTTTCTTGCTTATGTATATGTCTGTCACAATTTTAAAATAAAATATAAAAGTATAAAAACTAAGATTAACCTGAAGTTTTTCTAACCTATCATAACCACTGTGAATATTCTAGTGACTATTCTTTTATATATGTCTTTAAAAATATATTTAATACACAAAATTTAAATAAAGGCATAATACCATCTGTTTTATTGTAACTTTTTTCTTTCCTTACATTATTTTTTATCCCATATCACTTATCACATACTGTATATTTTGCTTAATTGATATATTGACTGCCTTCCTACACTCCCTAGCTCAGTGCGATCGGGGTTTTCATGTATTTTGTTTACTGCCTCTCTCCAGTTCCAGGTATGGCCTTAAGCCCATGGGATAGTGGGATAATCAGTAGGTGTTTTGTATGGAACTAGTAAAGGTGATGAGGTGATAGGTAAAATATGTCTTCTGGTTCATTGGCCTTCTTTGTGGTGTGGGTGTGGGGTTTTGTTTTGTTTCATTTTGTTTTTAATAATGTCTTGGCATATTATCATCCCCCAATCATCCTCTTGGTTCAGCTTCTTGAGTAGCTAGGACGACAGGCTCATGCCACCACATCCAGCTCTTACAAATAGTGTTGACATCACTATGTTGCCCAGACTAGCCTTGAGCTGAAGGACCTCCTGCCTCAACCTCTTGAGTAGCTGCGACTACAGGCATGCACCACTGTGCCCTGCTTTTCGAACTGAAGCTTCCCATGTGGTGCCAGCCTGCAGTGCTGTTCAGCACACACTACTGTAACAGGGCCTAACACTACCTTTTTAGGGTACTGTAGGTAGCTCTGCTCCCTCCCCATTCCAGTGTAAAAATATGAATTATAAAGACAAATAGTTTCCATATTTTCTCTACCGAATACATTATAGTCTAAAAAGATGAACAAGTTAAATGAAGTAAGTTAATGAGGTTAGATATTACTACCTAGAGACAAGGGACTTTTCCTGAATTTTAGCTCCTCCTCTTACTGGTTTTGTGACCCAAACTCATAACCTCATCATTTGTCATCTATAAAATGGAAATCACAATAGCTACCTCACAGGGTGGTGTGAGAATTACATGAGATGACATGTATAAAGTGATGTGCAAATTGCTCAGAGCATGGGAAATATCAGTAATTGCTAGGCTACTCTTACTATTGAATGAAAAAACTTTGCACAGCTCTCATTTTACAAATTTTATTATATAAAAATTATAAAACCCAGCCACAGCAGCACAAATGGGAGGATGCTGCTGTGCAAAGTTGGGGAGTCGTATATGAAGGACCTGGGTTTGGATCCTGGATTCACATTCCAGGTTGACCTGAGCATACCCAGTGTACCCACTGATGTGCCTCCAATCCTAGCTAGCTGGAAGGCTGGGTGGTAAGACCCTCTCACAGGTACTTGTTCATGAAATAAATAAGTAAATATTTTAACAATTATAAAGGGCTAAATGGTGCCACAGTGAAATGTGATGCTCTGTGAGGCTGGCACCCATGAGAGGATCACAGGTTGACACCTTAGGCTTCCCTAGGTGTGCTGTGCATGATCTAGGGTGGCAGGCTGGTGGCTGGTCGTTCACTCTCAGGAAAGTAGTAGATAGATTAAAAAATTATAAAACAAAAGCTAATATAAGAATTCATTCAGTAGAGCCAATAGGTGGCATGGTGGTTAAGGTGCCAGGCTCCCACATGGCCACCTGCAGTTCGAATCCCAGACCTAGCATCTTGCTTTCTCACTTTCCCTCTCTCTCTCTGTCTGGTGAGTGTATATGTCCTGTGGCAAATTAAAAATAGATAAATTTAGGGGCCGGCAGGTGGTATGGTGGTTAAGGGCACTGGACTCCCACATGACTGACCACAGTTTGAGTCCCTGACCTGGCAGCTTGCTTTCTCACACTCCCTTTCTCTCTCTCTTTCTCATACTCTCTCCCTACACACACACACACACACACACACACTGTCCCTCTCTGGTCAAATTTAAATAAATAACTAAAGTTAAATAAAATATTTAGGGAAAAAATTTAAAACTACAGGAAAATAGAATTTTTTTTTTGAGAGGTTTTTGCTATAGGGTGCGTGCACTCGCCAGACAGACAGAGAGAGACAGAGAGACAGAAAGCGAGAAATCACCCACCAGGGGGGATGGACACGCCGCAATCCCTTCTCCTGCAGTCTCCTCTCGGGATCTTGGGCATGCACGCACACGCGCCCGGCGTGAGTTTTAAGCCACCGGGTCCAGGACGCGAACCACGGTCGACTACATGGGAGTCCAGCGACATAGCCATTACGCTAACTGCTGGTCCCAGGAAAATAGAATTTAAAAATAAATAAATTTGGGGAACGAGCAGTTAGTGTAATGGCTATGTCGCTGGACTCCCACGTAGTCAACCACGGTTCG